AGAAATTGCCTCTTGGCATTTTCACAGAGAAAAGCAAGAAATGTCTATAAAACTGTTCAAAAGATTCTGGATTTAACTAAATTAAATAAATTTTATCGTTTTACTTAGTATTTTATTGTATTTCAACCTTTAAGTTTCATTGCAGGATTGTTCATAAAGTAAAAAGGTGGACTCAATCTAAATATCCAGCAATAAGAGACACGCATGATTTTAACACTTTCACAAAATGAGATTTAAATTATCACCTATAAAGCTTTATACATATATATGTATATATATATATATTTTTTTTTGTTTGTTTGTTTTTTGTTTTTTGAGACAGAATCTCACTCTGTTGCCCGAGGGGCTAGAGTGCCGTGGCGTCAGCCTAGCTCACAGCAACCTCAAACTCCTGGGCTCAAGCAATCCTTCTGCCTCAGCCTCCCGAGTAGCTGAGACTACAGGCAAGTGCCACCATGTCTGGCTATATATTTTTAGTTGTCCAGATAATTTCTTTCTATTTTTTTAGTAGAGACAGGGTCTTGCTCTTGCTCAGACTGGTCTCGAACTCCTGAGCTCAAACAATCCACCCGCCTCAGCCTCCCAGGGTGCTAGGACTGCAGGCGTGAGCCACCGCACCCGGCCAATAAAGCTTTAGTTTGCTCTGTATATAAAACTATTACTCATTTCTTTCATGCATTTACTTGACATTCACTTTCAGTATAACTCTATCATCTGGGTGATAGAGCTTACTTTTAATCATTTAGTAAAGTTTGTTCTTCAGGTATAGCAAGCAAACACATCTATTAAAAAGGTACTATAAGTTTATAATAAGCACTAAAAATAATTTCACACCTTATTATAGTTCATAAATGAACATCCATCTGTTGGTATATATACAACTGGTACATACATGAGTCATACCACAATATGGCATGGCAGTTAAGAGCATAGGTTTTGGATCCTGGCTGTGCTGCAATCATTAGCTGTGTAATATGATGGAAGTCTCTCTGTGCTTCAGTCTCCTCATTTATAATGTGGAGTTATTTAATAGCAGCTACCTCATAGGGTTATTGTGAGAGTTATGTTAGTTCAGATACATAAAGCACTTAGGACTGCCTAGAACAACAGGAGTGCTCAGTAATGGGTTAGTTGCTTGAACCATCAACATGATCATCATCATGATTACAGAGCTTCAGGGAAGAACATTTGTTAAATTCTGCTTTGCAGAACTAATGTTTACAAAAAGTCCTTTCTCTGTAAGTTTGCTTTGCTTTCAGAATCAAGAACTAATCAGGCTGTGCTCTAACAATGGAATAGGCTTCCTCACGAGGAGTGAGCTGCGTTGTGTGTACACTGCTGAGGCTGGAAAGTCATTTGCTACAAGCCCTACAGAACTGATTTCTGCACCTTAGAGAGGTTGAAAGAGATCCCTCAAAGGTCCCAATCTAATAAATGATGACATGAATCACTCTGAGGTTCCTTTCAAGCTCCAAAATTCTATGACTATTTAGCAGGTTATCATATGCAGAGTTAAGAAGATGACTGGCCAGGAACCTGCTATTAATATTACACTCTGAACTGATATGGAAACTTATACTTCCATTGAAAAACAGAAATCTTTATTTTCTTCCCGTGCTCTGAATAGTGAATTTCCATAGCAGTAAACCAAGTTTGGTGACTCAAGCCTCTCAGCAATTCTAGAAAGGAAATTGTGAAATTATCTGTGTTTGCCAAGAAAGTACTTCCAGTTTGCCAAAAGAGGGAGCATGGGAGCAAAGAGCATATGTTTGTCCAAGCCTCTAAAAAAATACTTATTTGAATTTTGTATTTTACTTTCTAGTTTTTTTTGCAAGGATAGGGTAGGACCACATAATAGTTACAGTAAACTTTTCTCTTTTTAAGATTGTGTTAAGACACTAGGGTCAAAGATCAAAATTACAGAGATAGACTGGACGTGGTGGCTCACACCTGTAATCCTGGCATTCTGGGAGGCCGAGGTGGGAGGATCGCTTAAACTCAGGAGTTAGAGATCAAGCTGAGCAAGAGCGAGACCCCATCTCTACAAAATATAGAAAAATTAGCTGGGCCTGGTGGTGTGCGCCTGTAGTTCCAGCTGCTTGGGAGGCTGAGGCAGGAGCCCAGGAGTTTGAGGTTGCAGTGAACTACGATGATGGCACTGCACTCTACACAGGGCGACAGAGCCAGACTCTGTCTCAAAAGAAAAAAAAAACACACACACAGATAACTTTTAATGATCCCTCTCTATCCTCCCCAGACAAAACACTCACCTCATGCCTCACTGCCACACACCAAGCAGCTCTAATTAAATTGCTCTCATTAAAAGGAAGGGGAGCGGGAGCTAAGCCAGTATGAGTACAGAAATAATTGCATATTTATGGATAACGGCTGTAAATTCTCTCCTGGCTATAATGGATTGTCCAAAAAAGAAGGATTTGTTGAACATATAATCTTCTTTTCACCTCACTACAACAATGAGGTTACTGATATAACCAAGCTTAAGGAAGGTTGATCATCAGGGTGCTATCTTACCCACTCCCTAGGGCTAAACACTCCTTGATGCCAAGCATGAGGAATGATGTAAGCACCTAGAACCCTTTGTAGAAACAAGTCCTTTACTCACACTCGTTAGTCACTATCTAAGATGTGAGCCTATGTAAGACAAGGTTTCTATCAGACACATCTGCATACAAAGTCATTTTTCAATACAAACTTTGACTTTGCCTTTGTAAAGGCAGCTTCGGCGAGTTACCCATTTGTGCATATTTTCAAATTCAATTCATAAGAATTCTGCAAATTTATACATATTTAGTATGAGCAACATACTCAGCCTCTTATTTTATTCAAATTACCAAAAAGTATTCGGTACCATATTAGCTTAAAAACTTAAGAAACACACTTGAAAAATACAGAGCTTAAAATTTTCCAAAAAAATTTATAAATGTTATATATACTAATTATTATACTAATAAATAATACATTTGTATTTATTTGATAGTTTAATGAAATGGCTTCTATTATTATTCATGTCTGCTGAATTAAAGCAAAATGACAGAAAGTATTAATCTAAAGAAAAAGGTAGGTGTTCTGTAATTTCTGGTTCGATCTCCATATGTCTCTGAACAATGTTCTAAGACCCTTCTGGTATGTTCTCCAGACCTGGAAAATACATAGTCTTGGGTTCCCTTCTTAATAGATTTATAACAGAAAATACATTGTCCTATTATAAGATTCCTCTTAAAAGATAACCTTTAAAGTTGGATTGTTTCCTGAACAAATAAAGAAACAAGATAAGCAGTGGCTTTTTGAAATTTACAATTTGTACAGTCAGTCCCATGCAACAGCTGGCAACACCAAGTCCTAGAGGAAGGAAATCTGTGAACACAGAGACCGATTTCACAGGCTACATTTTTCTCCTTTATTTGGGCCATCACATGAAAGACAAATTATTTTCCAAAACGATCAAGCACTCTCATCAATTAGCTAGCTAGAGTATAAATCCTGAAGGAAAAATGTAATAAGCTCTTCTTCTGTAAGTGCCAGCTGCCAAAAACTGTCAGAGTTGGTCAAAGCTTTTTAATGTTTCAATCAAATCACAAAATGAGTGGAAAGTCACTGCACAAAACCCATTAAGCTGCATCACTAAATGTCCAATGTTACATAAAAACTATAAATAACTTTGTACTTTTAGGGGTTTTTTCAATTTGCTTTCCTTGAAGTAATAATGATGTTCTGCTTCAGTTAATAAAGTAATTTTGGAACTGCCTTTGTATTTAATCCACATATTCTTTCTGTATGGAATAAAGATGGTAAGCAATAATTAAATCAGTAGAATTATAAGCATTCTTTGGCTTATCTGTTATTAAGGATTTAAAAAATTTAGAGGAGCACCAAAGATAGTGGAGGGCTAAAAAAAAAAAAAAATTGATCATCAGGCTTAATAATCTTGTGAGTTGACTTTCCTGTGGGGAAATAAAATGCTGTTTCTGAAAAGGGCATCTAGTCTTTTTCAAATATTTGCAAAGGAATTCATATTCTGGTTAAAGGAGCATCACTTATTACTGGCTTAAAAATAACAAACCAGGAGCCAACACCACACAAATATATCTACCTCAATGAACAAAAACACTGAATTAACAAGGGTTTGTTTCTACATACTAAAACAAAGCTTTTTCTTTTAGTGTATAGTTGATCTAAAGGCACAAATGAGAATTCTGGTAGCTGATACTTGCCCAAATAAAAGGATAAAATAAGCAGAGGATCAGATTCAAATCATTTGCTAACACTGAAATTCTTTTTTTCTTAAAAAAATTTTTAAGACGTTTCTTTCTCCACTTTCCTGATAAGTCCACTTTTTCCTTGGTCCGATGGATCCCATCTCTTCTTGCTATATCTGCTAGAATTACCAATAATCTCTAGCCAGTGAGGCTCTTCAATCACAAAAAACTTTATAAAACAAGTTTTCAAACAAAAATTAACAGTAGAACACATATGGGATCAAAGAGATCCAAGTTCGCATATTGTGCACAGGGTAGAAACAATTTTCTTCTTTAAAAAAAATTTTTTTATGGTAACTAAAAAGAATTAGCCTAAGATTGACATGCTAACAATTTGAAATTTGAGTTTTCAAATATAAAGACAAGATATTTTGAATAATATACTGAAACTAAAATTAAGCAAAGCATGGTATATGAATTTAGTATATTTAAGGAAAAACAATGAACTCTTCAAGTACCTTGTCAAAATAAAGGAGAGACTGGAAGCACTTTGAACTCCTGAATCTCATCTGGAATCTCGTGCTAACTTTTTAGTATATGATAACATCTATTTTCTACGACAATTTTTTATATTTAAAATTATAGTCCCCAAGACTATCATATTAGTCAATTTAAAATAAATTTTTGGTAAAAATAAGCAATGATCCTTCAATTTAATATAATACTAGAATATAGATACTTACTTTAAAAAGAATAAATTTTTACACAAAACAACTCTACAAATTTTAAATAAACATCCATGATATATGTACCAAGTTTTATTTGCTTTTAAATTATACAAATAGAACAAATATGCTATTCAAAATATTAAATTTTTTTGCATTTTACAGAAGAAAAAGAAACTGAAGTGAAACTGTAGGAATTGCTGAACTTCGTATAAATGTTTCTTCAAAACAAGAGATATTAGTTCCTAAAAGATTCCTCTAAAGTTAAAAAAAGATTAAGAAAAACATTAAGCCACTGGGTTATTACATTTTTAAAAAACTATGTTTCTTAATGGACATATGTTTACATTTACAGATAGTAAACTTAGCCTCCTGTCTCGTAAAACTCAGAAGACACCACCGATATCTCAAATAAGCAAAACAATGAAAGCCTCTTTTTCATATGAAAAAACTTTAAAATCTAAATCTACCTTAACATTATTTTCCAAGAAACCTTAATAAAGAATAGCTAATCCGAAAGCAAAATGTTGTACAAATCACTTTAGAGAAAAGAAATACATAATGGGATCATGCTTATAGTTAGTAGTATCAACTAATAATTCTAAACAATGACATGCGAATTCAGAGTATCAGCCGGTCCTCTCCTCCCTCCTGAATTACCTGACCAATGGAAGTTTGGCTTTGTTGTTTCAGAAAGCACTGTTTCTTACATTCCATCAATTGTTCAAAATCACGCCACATTTTTGCTTGTTTCATATTTGGACCATGACTTTCTCGTACAGCTTTTTGTTTTTCCCGAAGCGTCTATCATAAAAAAATTAAGAATAATTAAATCTCAGTTGCAGGGATTTACTTCTATTGCTAGAGTCAGAGGAATATGGTATATTTATACACTTCATGGATAATAGTTAAATAAACCAGATTCTTCTATAATGTATCAAAACTAAGATTATAAAAGTTAATTAAATTTAAGGTAGATGTAGAACAGCCTGAAGTTGAAGGTAAGATAAAAATATGAAGGAAAGGAGGGAAAAAGATAAAGGGAATCAGAAAAGTAGAACAGTATCATGGTGTAGAAAAAAGAATGTAGATTTTGGAAATCAGAACTCAAGTTTTTGTTGTATTTTTTTTTTTATTTTGAGGCAGGGTTTCACTCTGTTGCCTGGGCTGGAGTGCAGTGGCATCATCATAGCTCACGGCAACTCAAACCCCTGGGCTCAAGCGATCCTCCTGCCTCAGCCTCCCAAGTAGCTGGGACTACAGGTGCATACCACCATGTCCAGTTAATTTTTCTATTTTTTGTAGAGACAGGGTCTTGCTATTGTTGCTCAGGCTGGTCTCAAATTCCTGGCCTCAAGTAATCCTCCCGCCTCGGCTGCCCCAAGTGCTAGGATTACAGGCGTAAGCGACCATGCCCGGCCAGAACACAAGTTTTAACCTTGGTTTTGTCACTAGCTGTAAGCAAGGCACTTAATTTCTCTGGATCTCAGTTTTCTCAAGTGTCAATTAAGGCTAATAATAGGGGACAATAAGTCTCTACTTGGTAAGATTATTTTTTCACATGATAGATACTGAAATACTTGATAAGCTAGCATGTGTGATGCATCCTATTAATATTATTATTATATTCTATCCTGAAGCAGTGTATGCTTTATGTATTTCTAAATAAATAAAATTGTATGTATATATTCTTCAGGGAGAAGGCTCAGTAATTTAAAAAAATGTTCACTATTAAATAGGCCAAAATCCTTATCAGAATTGTTTTTGTTGGCCGGGTGCGGTAGCTCACGCCTGTAATCCTAGCACTTTGGGAGACCGAGGCAGGAGGATTGCTCAAGGTCAGGAGTTTAAGACCAGCCTGAGCAAAAGTGAGACCCTGTCTCTACTAAAAATAGAAAGAAATTAGCTGGACAACTAAAAAATATATAGAAAAAATTAGGCCGGGCACAGTGGCTCATGCCTGTAATCCTAGCTCTCTGGGAGGCCGAGGCGGGTGGATTGTTTGAGCTCAGGAGTTCGAAACCAGCCTGAGCAAGAGTGAG